GGGGTGAGGGGGGAGGGATTGTGATCAGGTAAGCTGAAGCGTTTGTGGAAGAGGAAGCAGACATGGCCGTGGTTACAGGAACCTTGAAGATGGAGATTGTTGATGGCGCATATCTTACGCCGTGCAACAAGGATGGTACTGCGGACTCCTACTGTCGTGTTCAGATTGGTCCTCCTTCGGGGCCAATCCGCGAAGAGGTGAGAATTCATGTCCACTAAAGTTGCTTCCCAAAGACGAGACGAAACTCGGTTTTCTTATTTCCTTCTCGGGGCTGACGGCAGAGCAGATCATCGTCACGACACTTGTCTTCTCTGCAAAGTTGCCATTTTTCTGTCCGGCTTTTCTTGTCTTTCCTTTTCTTTCGGCCTCCACCCCCCCTCCTCCCCCCGCCCCCCCGGCATTTACCCCCTGTAAGTTTGTCTTTCACCCTTCTCTCCCCTTCTTTCCCCTTCTCCCCCCGCCCTCCTCCCCCTCTCCCCCCCTTCCCTTCAAATTTCCCTACCTCCCGTCCGCCTTAGGGGGATATCGGGCCTCATTTCTTCCCATCGCTCTTTCCCACCATATCTCTCGCTCGTTTTCCTCCCTCTCTTGTGTTCTGATTCGGCCGGCGGCTTCGTTCACTTCTGGGACAACATGTTTTTTTGACTCTGTACTGTTTCTCTTAACCCCAATCTCCTCTCTCTCTCTCTCTCTCTCTCTCTCTCTCTCTCTCTCTCTCTTTCGACCATGTGTTCTTCCACTGCCTCTCGGTTTCTCTTCGTTCTCTCTTCGTTGTCTCTTCGTGCATGGTTGAGCAGTGATGATGTCTCTTGTCCCTCCGTTTGATGTTTTTTTTTGTTTTTGTTGATTAATAAATTTGGACCATTTCTCGATTTATGCGTGTCATCCTTGCGCGCAGGGGCCATGCTTATCTTCTTCTTTCTCTGTATCGTTCCAAATTTCACGGATGTCCCCGAGGACTTGATGACATTTTCTCGTTTTGCTCCAACTAGGTAGTTTGCTGTGGAGGGAAAAAAACAGAAGTTTGTGGCGAAATTTGTCGCTTTCTTTCCCCTTTTCCCTTTGAATCTCCCTTTTCAGCCATGTCCTCATATGATGGGGAAATTTACGGCCGGGTCTTAATGTACCTGACCACAATTACGTCCGGAGAGACGTTGAAAAAAAAAGAAAAGGTCTTAGTGCCCTAGTATGGCCTCATTCAGTCGTTCTCCGCCTTGCAACTTTCCTAATACACGCACTACTCCGTACACGACATAAGGTCTCGCTCCACTACTCCCCACATGCTCAAAGGACAAAAAATAGGACGGTGTATCTTTCCATGTTCTAGCTGAAGATTCATTCTCATTTTGCACATTTGGTGAGTAGTGGAGCGAGGCCCATAGATTCCCTCTTTTGTTTTTTTTTGTCACATTGTTTCCATCTTCGCGCATCTGCTAAATATGCAGCACTTTAAATTTTCTCAATTTTCTCTCCCCCCTCTCAAAAAGGAAGAAAAAATATTAAAAAAAGAAAAAAGGAAGAAAAAAACTGCAGGACTTCCATATTCGGTCATGAGCATTTTCTGTACCGCATGCACATTTCTGTATTCAGCGCTATATGCGCACAGCATATGACCGTCCTTTTTTGTTTTTTAAAAATTTTATTTATTTCGAAAGCCGTAAGATGTAAATGATGCATGCGGCTGTGCATCAACACAGCTGCAGATGTGCTTTTTTTTTTTTTTTTTTTTTTTTCACAGTCGATGTCTTTATGCGACTGTGTTAATTTACAGTCCACATTCGGGTACGGGATTTGATGAAGCGCCTGAATCTGGACGTGTTTTATGCAGAAATGCAGAAAAACAGATCAGGTAATCGTGATTTTCTGCACCTCTCCACAAACACTTCCAGATTCAGCCGTTCTGTCCATTACTCCTTTTTTTTTTTTTTCCAGTTTGCAGTGGGACCTCGTCCTCGCTATTTTCATCTCAAGGCAGGCAACCTGCAGATGTCGGCTGTGATTTTTTTTTTTTTTTTTTAAATTTGAATGGAATACGGCTTATTAACAGTACCATTTAGTTTCATGTGGATTCGAACTCAGGTCTGTATATCAACAGTTCATGGGTGTACCAACTGAGCTGACTTCTTCCCGCGAATACAAGGTACGGTCATTATAGCTGTATTTAGACTGAAAGATACCCCAAATACAGCTATAATGACCGTACATTGTATTCGGGGGAAGAAGGTAGGCCAGTTGATTGTGAGGAAATTTTGAATTTGAAATTGGAAAAAGGGAGAACAAAAGCGAGTGAGGAGGTATGGTGCCGTACTGCTCTTACTGTCCTGTCTCTTTGTTCTCTTTAATTTAGAAAAAGAACTCAGACTCAGAGAATGTGCAGCCTGCCGTTCCAGCCAGACTAAGGGGTTTTCGGTCTGCTGTTCGACTGCTGAGACCCTATCTGTCGGCGGGGACCGCCACGTGTTTTAATGCTAAATGTTTTTTTTTTTTTTTTTTTTTTAGCGATTCTGTTTGCTTTTCGCCTTTTCCTGTCCATGTTACGTCCTCACCTCCTCGGTCGTCTCTTCCCTTTTTATCCTCGGGCTGTTGATCTTGTCTCTTCTGCTGTCCTTTCCGTCTTCCCTTCTTGGCCTGTCCGACTCCCGTCTGTCCCTTCTTCTTTCTTCTGTCCTTCTCTTTGCTTTCTCCTCTTCCTTCTCTCCTCTCTCCTCCTCCTGCTTTCCCCTCTGCTCGTTCCTTCCCACTCTCGCGCCCCCTCCAATTTGTTCTGCTCCTGCTTCTCCCTCTCTTTTCTCTCCCTATCGCATTGTCGAGTAGCATGTGTGTGTGTGTGTGTGTGTGTGTGTGTGTGTGTGTGTGTGTG